TCATCAGAGAGGCTACATACAATTCAAATCAGAGCTCATGGCCCACCATGGGACTGAAACAACCTAAAGTGGAGAACATAATCTACATCCCACACAGCCTCCAGACAGTCTCTCTGGTAGCCTGTTGATTAATGCATAAACTAGAAAGACATTTCATTGACTGCCTTCTAGTCCCATGAGCACAATGTAGTCAATAAATATTTATTGAATGCAATTTCCTGGGGCTTGCAGCACTTACTCTGTGATAACTTACAAGCAAATAAGCAAGAATTGTTCAGGGTGGTTACAAATAAATATATAAATGTATGTTAATGGAATCCAAAATACAAATGGACGGTGAGAAAGGAAATATGCATCCTTCTGCAGACAAGTCATCCAAGTGGTACTAGATTTAGGGTAAATAAGAAAGAAGTGCATTACACAAGCCCCAGAAGTGAGGATTGCAAGAGAGAGAAAGAAGAAAGGAAAAAAGGGAGGAAGGAGATTTATAAATGGCTCTATTTCATACAAATGAAAATATATATGTTTTTAAAGTCAATCTTTTTTAGTCTCTCTGGCTTTATGTGTACAATACTTTTATCTGTCACTGAAATAGCTCCTACACTCAGGAAATGGCAGAGTTAACTGAAATGGGCTTCCAAATTACAATTTTTGCAATAAAAATAAAATATGGCTTTCTGCCACCCATTTGGAGCTACAGCACCAATATGCTTATGTGATCCCCCTTAAGCCCTAGTCACATTAGAGTCTGAGCCATGTATCACCAATTTGGCCATGAGGATGACTGTTAGGTTAAATTTATTTAAGTCTGAACATTCATTCTGAGTTAAAAGTAAATTAAAAATTTGCATTTGAGATAATATGCAAAAGGGACAGTGTAATCACCACATTCTCCCTTGTGCATCCTCTCTAAGTTCCTGTGAAGTCTGAGAATGAACAGACACAGTGAAAGCAGGAGCCTGGGAGGTGCTGAAGCTGAGACAGGCATCTTCACCGCTGCATGTCCAGCTTTGTAGGGGAAAGATCTTGTCTCTGGGAAATGCTTCAGTAAGCAATTCTACAATTTTAATAAAAACACTCAAAAGAGACTCTAGTCATGACCAACTAGGTCCAGCCCTTCAGCAAATTGGAAAGAAGACAATAGTGATTGCATAAATCCACATCCACTGGCTCTGATTCTAGGATTGCCACAACCACCCCATGACTAAAGAGGAAACAAAGGTTTCATTGCTGTCAGGCAGCAGGAAAGAGGCAGAACCAAGAGGGAAATCAAGACTTCTCAGGATTCTTTTCAGGATACCACCCCAAGTACAGAAGGTCATCAGATCTGCAGTATACTGGACCTCCGTTGGAAGTAGCCAGACAATGCTTGATTCACTTCAGGTTGAGAGTTGTCTTTGCTCTTTCTTTCTTTATTTATTTATATATTTTTTGCAGTACGCGGGCCTCTCTCTGTTGTGGCCTCTCCCGTTGCAGAGCACAGGCTCCGGACGCGCAGGCTCAGCGGCCATGGCTCACGGGCCCAGCTGCTCCACGGCATGTGGGATCTTCCCGGCCCGGGGCACGAACCCGCGTCCCCTGCATCGGCAGGCAGACTCTCAACCACTGCGCCACCAGGGAAGCCCCTGCACTTTCTTTTATATATATAAATTTATTTATTTATTTTTGGCTGCGTTGGTCTTCCTTGTTGCGTGCAGGCATTCTCTAGTTGCGGCAGGCGGAGGCTACTCCTCGTTGTGGTGCGTGGGCTTATTACAGTGGCTTCTCTTGTTGCGGAGCACGGGCTCTAGGCACGCGGGCTTCAGTAGTTGTGGCGTGTGGGCTCAGTATTTGTGGTTCACGGGCTCTAGAACACAGGCTCAGTAGTTGTGATGCACAGGTTTAGTTGCCCCGTGGCATGTGGCATCTTCCCGAACCAAGGCTCAAACCCGTGTCCCCTGCATTGGCAGGCAGATTCTTAACCACTGTGCCACCAGGGAAATCCATGTCTTTGCCCTTTCAATGCTCTATAGATGGTAGTTGAGTAACAGACTTTATAGCCACCAAATCAACCAGGGAAATTTGCCCAGAGATTTATAGATTACTACTCACCTCCACCACAATATCTTTTGCAAGTCTATTCATAATTCCGCTCTGTCCTGACTTCAAGACTACCTACACTTAGTGTCTTTTTGTTAAAGCATAATTATATTTCCCAAATAGGTGATAACATTTTTAGAGTCATGCTGACACTTTTGTGTGTTTGACAAAGGAGGGGCACAGTGACTTGCTGATATGTCATGACTAAAATATTCAAATAAGAGTAGAGACATGGGTGTGAAATGTACAGTGTGGGAAGTCAATAATTATGTAATATCTTTTTATGGTGACAGATCATAACCAGACTTCTTATGGTGATCATTTTGAACTGCATAGAAATATCCAGTCTCTATGTTGTATACCAGGAACTAACATAGTGTTATACTTCAAAAACAAACAAACTCATAGAAAAAGAAGGTCAGATTTGTGGTTTTCAGAGGTGGGGGTTGGGGGAGTGGGAATTGGGTAAAAGTAGCCAAAAGGTACAAACTTTTCATTATAAGATAAAAAAGTACTAGGGATATAATGTACAACATGATAAATATAATTGACACTGCTGTATGTTATATATGAAAGTTGTTAAGAGAATAAATCCTAAGAGCTCTCATCACAAGGAAAAAATTACTATCAACCCTTAGAATGTACATATATATATATATATAAACCACTTTGGTGTACAGTAGAAACTAACACTATATTATAAATCAACAATAATTGAATAAAATAAATTTTAAAAAAGACTACCTAACCACTTTCCAAAAGAGGGAGAAGGAAAAGATCCTGGGGATTTCCTTCCGGGGAGCTATCATCAGTTCTGATTACATATGTAAAAGCTGACCTGAGGCATCCTAATATACTTTCATATACTGAACACTGTCAGTGCCATCGCTCTTACAGACCAGAGAAGGAAAGCCTAAGTCCCTAGCAAGAAAATCTAGGAAAAGGTATTCTAAAATTTAGGATGATAAAAGGACAATCAGGGAAGCCTTCATGAAAACTGAGCCATCAAGCTTCTCAGACAGGGAAGATCTAACTAATCATAACATGGAGAAGGGAGGAAGTCTCTGAATGCTTCTTGCCCTTCAAGCCAGATGCTCAGCAGGCTCACCCCAAATCCAGCAAAGCACACCCCTTTAAGCCTCTTCAATAATCCACCTGCCATTCTGAATCTGCAGCCTCCCTAAGGCTCTGAGGTATTTATCAGATTACCACTTGAGGTCACATATCCTACTGTCATGTTTTGTGGCTGTTTATTTATATGCGTTTTCTCCTTGGAGAAATTAGAAGCTCGGAGTTCACAAGGAAACACAGTGCTCTGCATGCGGCAAGTGCACAGTGTGAATTTGTAGTGCACATACTGAATGAAATTGCTTTCCTTGTAAGCCTGGCCCCAGTTCCAGCCTAGAGATCCTAGAGTCCAAAGACTGTAAAAAAGAATTATGTGGAATTATTTGGAGCCAGCTGACAGCTGTTCTATTTGTCTGCTCATTTCTGAAGTCTCCATTGACTATTCAGTCCCATGGAAGCCAGAAACACCTGCCTGTCAGAGAATCAAATGCGTGATTTGGAGATTTTGTCAGATACTTAAACCCCAAAGGCGGTATAAGACATAATTCCTACTGTGAAAAAAATAAATGCATATTTTAAAGGATGGATCCATGAACTCTGCAAAAAATAATTGTTTTCAGTGTAGACAATATTTATTGGCAGGTGTTAAGAGTGCAAAATAGTAACAATGGGATGGGAAAAGAGGTTGGCATGGCTCCCCTTCCCCAAGTGAGGACACTGTAACCAGGCCAGTGAGGTGGGAGTACTTGACTTCAGCCACTTTGAGTCCAGCATCCACTGGAGAACAAGATTCCAGGCAGGAGGGGTCCTCACAACATGGGGGAAGGGAGCAGTACCCTAGAAGGGGCATGAGCTGTGTTCCATCCCAAGCTGCTTTGTTCCTGTCCACCACACACCTCAAAAGCACAGGGCAGCTGTGTTAGGGGACTGGGCTAAACCTATCCCTTTAAAATGTAGATGACTTTTTCAATGCAGGAGGCAGAATTGATGTGACTATAACTGATATGAAATGCTGATTGGAATATTTGTTAATTCTAAAATCTCTGCTGAATCTCAAAGTCTATACACAAATTCTGACGTGGACACTTGTTCAGACGACACCACTCAGTGCTTGATCCCAAGTAAGAGATGGAGAAATGGCTCCAGACCTAATGTCGTCATTCACTTTGCTTCCCTCTTCCTGCAGAGAGGTTTCATCTACCCTGGGCTTTGATATGCTCAAGTGTGTCTGTCTCAGGAGGTGCAGTCTCTTTCTCTTCATGAAACATACTTTGTTAGCCATATACTGACTTCTAGATGTTCAAAGAATTGGTGAAGATTTCTCCAGGAGCTATTGGTTTTTTGTTGGCTTTAGGCCATGCTTTCTCATTCGTACACATTCACTTCCCTTCAAATTGTATGGACCTGTACAGGATTGCTAGCCTTTTAAATTGCCACACCAGGACTTTAAAAACTACTATTTCTATCACCATTATTCCTTAATCCAAAAAAGGTAAAGATAGGCTTTACGTTGGCTAAATTCACAAAGTTCTTCTTATTTTTCTTATTTCACTGTAAGTCACTGACATATACTTAGGCATCATGTCCCTAGCATAAGGACAAGGATGAAAATTTCTCTCCTGGAATGTTGCTAGATGGGTTCTAAAATATTAAAAATATATGGCTGAGTTTAGCATTTATGTCATAAAAGTCATAAAACTTAAGGATAGAATATGAAAAAGAAAATAATTGTAAAAATCACCAGGACTCAAAGGGCTTCTGGAGAATTTTTCACTTGGCAGGAACAATGCATAATCACTAATGCAGATTTTGGTGACCAAATTGGAATTTTTATCCTTTCTTCTCTGTTCCAGGTACATGGCCATCATCCACCCCCTCCAGCCCCGACTGTCGGCCACAGCCACCAAGGTGGTCATCTGTGTCATCTGGGTCCTGGCTCTCCTCCTGGCCTTCCCCCAGGGCTACTACTCAACCACGGAGACCATGCCCAACCGAGTGGTGTGCATGATCGAATGGCCAGAGCATCCCAACAAGATTTATGAGAAAGTGTGAGTAGAGATGAATTTCAGTGCCTTCTTTGTCCTTTCTTGTTCCTTCTTTCTTTTGTTCTTTTTTTGGTTAGGATTTAATTTGTATGTTAGGATTTAATTTGTAAACATTTCTCACAACCACTCTGTGTCAGGTTGATGTGTCCATAATTATCAGGAGACTATTATGTCCCAAATACTATTCTGGGCTTTGAATGAAAAGTTTTAAAATATAAGGCCTGGATCCTGATATAGCATACCATTTGGGCACACTACCATGTCCCTCTTACCAGTGACTTTGCCCGGCCAGTGTCTGCATTTCTTTGCCTGGGAACTTTTTCCTACCCTATAGAATGCCATTTTGCCCTCTTGCACAGCATGCCAGAGGGTAAGGGAATTATCCTTCCCTCCACACTCTCAGCATCTGTCAAAAACAACTGATGGGGGAACTTCCCTGGTGGTTCAGTGGTTAAGACTCCGCCTGCCAATGCAGGGGACAGGGGTTCAAGCCCTGGTCTGGGAAGGTCCCACATACTGTGGAGCAACTAAGCCAGTGCACCAAAACTACTGAGCTTGTGCTCTAAAGCCTGCGAGCCACAACTATTGAAACCCACACACCTAGAGCCTGTGCCCCGCAAGTGATGCCACCGCAATGAGAAGCCTGCGCACCGCAATGAAGAGTAGCCCCCGCTCACCGCAACTAAAGAGAGCCTGCACACAGCAACAATGACCCAACTCAACCGAAAAAAAAAAAAAACACACACAAACTGATGGGAGTTGGCATATGAACACTCCAGCTCCCTCCCGCTTCAGGTGGGAGGTCTCTGAGGTGTGTGTTTTACTGTGTTCAGGGTTTCCTCTTGGGATTAAGCTCCAGTCACCCTGAGCCAGTAGCAGCTGGCTCAATGACACACGCATTGTTAGCCCCACTCCCTACTGGTGTTTCTTTCTCCTTCTAAATAAGTCATTTGCACCTTAATCTTTATCTCAGGATGTGTCACTGGGGAAAACTAAACCAAAACACCTACCTTCTAGGATTTTGCAGCTGGAAAAATACCTATACATGTGAAATGCATGGGAAGGCAAGGCCAGAACATTGAGACCTTATGAGTTACATGTCCCCCACAGGACAAGCCCATTTCTCTTCCAGCGGCCTGACTGATCACATTTAGGGCTTTTTAAAGCTATCTTGGCACATTTTCCAAAATTTCTTATCTTAGAGGCAACATTAAAATGGCTTATTCTTTGTTTTGTTCTATTCAAGTGAGCAGCAATTTGACATTTATATTATCATCAGTTTTCTGGATTCAAAGCACATTGATAATATGGCTCCTTTTGAAAGTCCTCTATAATTTTCCAATCTTGGATTTATTAAGTGAATTGTAAAAGAAAGACCACTTGTATTAGAATCAGAAGATCTGGGTGTTAATTACAAGATTGCCAATTTCTAGCTATGTGACCCTGGGCAAGAGCACAGTCTCTCCTCGTTGTTAAATGGAATATGATAAAGCACTGCCTCACATAAAAAACTGTTCTGAAGAGCAAACAAGATAATGTATTCTCACCTTGTAAGCTATTAAATGCCATAAGAAAGATAAGATACTGTTATTGAACTAAATTCATTAGATAGTATAATATAATCATTATAGACCTTTGAACATATTAAATGGTAAAATGAGACACTGTACCTCTTGGTCCTCTAGATATGAGGGCCCAAAAGCCTGTTGCACACAGAGTTACACTACTGCATCTGTTCCATGGAGCATGGAAATGTAGCTTGCCAGAAAGCAATACGTAAAGCTCAGACTTTGCCTTCCAGACACAGACAGTGGGATTTAATTGATCAGGCAGTGGGAGATTAATGCTTAGCCTAGGAGATGTTGAACGTTTTTCTTTCAAGTGAAACTACAAGCCTGAGCAGAATCACAGCGGGAGAAAGAACATAGCTTTACAAGCTGTACAGGACCCATGAACATGTTCAAGCCAGAAGCTTCCCTCAAAAGGGGGAAAAAAACCCCTCTGAATTAAAGTTCATTATATAAACTGCTTCAGAAACTCCGGTCAACTTCATGGACCTTAGCTCAGTTCTTAGTTCTTGTGAGCTTTTCAAAGTCTGATCACCTTTTTGCAACTTTTTGCTTCAAATAAGCACAGTTCTTTTATCTTCCAACAAATTCAAATTTTAACTTGGAAATAAAGGTTTATTTTCTCACAGATCTCTGGGATCTCATGCAAGAAACAGTAGTGTTTTACTTTTAAACATTTTTCTATTTTATGCTTACTAATGATTAGAAAGTCGCTTTGAGACTCAACGTTTTGGACTGTCCTTTCAAGTTACCTTTAAAGAATTTTGGGTAACTGCTACTGGATGCATGGTTAGGTTTGTCATTATTGTTTATTTCATGATTTTAACCTAAAAAAAAATGGGCCTGGAATAAAAGCTCCTGATTTTATCTATTCAAGATGTATAAAATATTTATAGATGCAGTAGTAAGTTGAAAGCATCCACATTTGCCATTCACATATTGTCTGTGATACAAACATAAGTGTAAGTTTTATGCAAACCTATTTTATTTTTGTCAGTATCTGTCATAATGCATCATGATATATTTTTTAGGGAATTTAAATTCCATCAGTTCTAAACTAAGTACTTTATTATATTCTCTTTTATTAGAACTAATGATTGCCATTTCCACAGTACACAGTAATTCCAAATTTTAAACCATAAGGAAACTTTGAGACAGGGTAAGAGCATAGGCTTGAGAGTTAAATGAGTGATCAACTCCCAGCTACATCTCTCTCTAGTTGAGTTGTAATAGTCAAGTTATTCAAGCTTCTAAGCCTAATAGTAGAGTCCATATAGAGATGTTGAGAGAAGTAAATAAGGTACTTGCTTAGCTCAGTGCCATGCACATTGGAAAGAATCTAGTGAATATTACCTATTGTTGTTAGCATCATTCATTGATCTGGGTACATGGGCAGAAAACTGACAGCAGGGAGTGAGATGGGTAAATGCTTAGGCCCAATTCATCTGATGAATAATTTATGCCAGATAATTACACTAAAAGGTTTTGTGAAAATCTGGGTTTTGTGAAAATCTGGATCTTTTGAAAATCTTTGAAAATCTGGCATTTGCCTTCTGGCTACATTGTTAACCTCTAACCCCGATCATTTATCATTTAGATTCTTATTAATACATGTATTAAATTAAACACTTTTAAAGAAAGGCAATCCAATAAAAGGACAGGCAAAAGATATCCTTATATATTAAATGACCAATTAATATATAAGGAGGCACACAACTTCATTCATCAACAGTGAAATGAAAATTAAAACCATAATGAGATCTTACTATCTACCTATTAGACTAGCAAATGTTCAGAAATCTGACTAAACTAAGCATTTAGAACTTTTGGTGAAGAACCTTAGTAGACTGCTAAAAGTATACATTGATAAAACCACATTGGAAAACATTTTGTAGTATCTAGAAAAGAAGAAACTATTCATACCCCATAACCCTGCAATTTCACTCAGGGGTAATTAATTACCCTAGAAAAACTCATGCTATGAACCCACATACATCTAGATATTGTTTATATCAGCATCATTCTTAAAGCCCTAAACTGGAGATATTCCAAATGTCCATCTTCAGTTAGATGGATAATTTAAATGTGGTACAAGCATGCAATGGAATATTATGTAGTTGGCATAATGAACAAAGTGTAGCTCCAGCCAGCATAAATGGCTCTTGTAAATAAGGTTTTAAAACAAGCAAAATGAAAGGTGGTAACACTACAACTGCAAGCAAAGAAGTAGTTACCATGAAAGTGAGGACTGTGATTATCTTTCAAGGGAGAGAAAGGGATGTGATCAAGAAGGGACACTAGGAGTTGCTTCTGAGGATATGGCATTATATTTCTCCAGCACAATGGTAGTAGCATGAGTGTTTGCTTTAAAATTACTCATAATACCAAGTAGTTTGACTTATGCACTTTCTCTGGAATTTATGTTTCATTTTTATTTAACTTAAAATTAAATTCTATCCAAAGGTTTTTACTTTTGCAAGCTCTCAAGATACTTCTTCCATTGGGATAACCCCAAATTTCCTCCATAAGAAATTATCTTCTGAAGTGTGGGCTCTGCCTGGGGTCACATTCATAAGTACTCATCTCTGAATTAACCGAAGTATGGATGGGCCCCATTTCATTCTCATGTTTACTTGCATTTTGCCTTGCTAACTCCTATGTGTCAGCCCATTTGGAATTTTTCCAATTGGTCTAAGGGGGGTTAGGACAAATTATTGTCCCTGGAAGGATGTGACAAATGTTAACCAGAGAACAAGTCCATAGACTCTCCACAGCACTCATCCCTTGCTGCTATTATTCATAAGCACGTACATCTGGGCTACAAAATGCTACAGATAGACTTGGTTCATCTTCCTGGAAAATCATTTAAAACTTCATTTTGCATTTAAAAATATAAATAAATTATGGGGTATAACGAAAATTCTTATATTCTTTTTAATCACCCATATTCCCATCATTTACAAAGGCTCTAACATTTTGATGAATTTCCATCCAGGGAAATATTGTTCTTAGTTTCTTTTGAAGTGTCTTGTGTACCTACAGGTCAACACAAATATAGATTGTTTCCCTTTTTGTAACACAAAATGTAGCTTATTATGCACATTGTTCTGTACCCTGTTTTTTATTTAACTTAATACATCTTAGAGATCTTTTCATATCAGTTCATGAAGAGCTTCTCTATTCTTTTTTTCAGCTACACAGTATTCCATGTTATAAATGTACAATATTATTTAACCAGTCACTTTTAGTGGACTTGGGATTGTCTCCAGCCTTTTGCTATTGGATTGCTGTCATGAATAACCTTTACATTTATCATGTAAGGCTATGTGGAGCATAAAAATCCCCAAAATGGAATTGCTGAGTCAAATTTTTATATTTGCCCTCCATACTAATTTACATCCCCACCAGAAATGTGTGAAAGTCTCTCTTTCTCCA